AGGGTGAGATTTCTAAAAACTAAAACAACACAAAAACTCTTGAAAAAAGAATCATTTCTTTAATTATAATACATTTTTAACATCTTCTATTTTTTAAAGCACTGAATATTTTTGGTGCATCATCATAGAAGATTTTGCCTTTACAAGGTATTTGTCCATCTTACATTAGCACATAAAAAAATTTAACGTCTTACATGAAGAAACCTAACCTACGGTAAACACGTGGTTGCAGAGAAATGTGTTCTCTGTCTGTAGATTTATTTTTGATGTTATAATTTGTTGAGATTTCTTGTTTATTTTTAGATGGGATACAGCTGGACAAGAAAAGTTTAAATGCATTGCATCTTCATATTACAGAGGAGCAAGAGGTTCTCATTACATAAATTTTTACTAACCCATTTTTTGAAACAAAATATTATTTATGTAAATTAATAGTTTTTATGTCTTTTTTTTTCTTCGAACATTTTCATATAATGTATATTTTCCATAAAGCTCTAACATTCGCAGTAAGCACTACAGAATTAATGTTAAAAATGAAATTATAAAAACTTACACATTAATAGATTGATGTTTAAGCATGAACTATATCTATAACTGATATCCAATTGATGAGCATTACCAATTTAGAGAATAATTCCAACAAAAGTTTGATTAAAATAATTAAAACCAATGTGTTTGTATCTAACAAATTGGTTTTTAATTTCATCTAACGTGATTTCTCTCCATACTGATTCTACAAAGTTTGATGTTTTGTTTGGAGTTTTTTTTTTTTCAAACTCTAATAATTTATGGCTTTGATTGTGTTCTTTTTTATCATTCATTACTCGATCAAAGTTCTAAATACATATGGGTGATTCTCATGAAACATGACAATTCGGACNCAGAAATGCTTATATAGGATAAGATAAGAAAAATTAGCTTTTGAAAAATGTATGGGAAGTTTTCAAGCTAGTTATTATTGGAAATATTGTTTGGGACATGCCAGTAAAATAACATTTTGATATTCAATTAAATTTTTCAAGTATACAAAACATTCAATGCTAGTGCAAAGTCATTTTAAAATGCTAACAGCAATGCTGTTTATTAATTTTTTTAAAAAAAAAAAGTTCTTTTAGTATTATAGTATTAGGTTTTGGAGCAAGGGACAGTGAATTTCATGTTTCATGAGAATCACCCATATATTAAAGATTGTGATAACAAAAGTAAATCAGACTTCATTGTAGAAATATATTGCATATCGTATTTGATTAATGTTACTTCAACTCTAACAGGGCCAAATTTACTACCGTTTAGCGCTAGTTTCGCAAAATACTTTTTCTTAAAATTTTACTTTTTTTATCGCATAAGAAACAATAAATCCATATTTTTGTGTTGATTTTTTATTATAATTTTTTATTTTCACGAATTCATAATGCATAATTCATTAAGTCATGTCATGACTTAATGAATTATGCATTTGTATTGAATTTTTAAAAAATTAGCTGTTGTATTGATTGTTAGGAAAAGAATAAAATTTTTATATTTGCTTCTTATAAAATGTAATAAAAACTAAATAATTAGTTTAATTTAATGAAAATTGGATTAAGAATGATTAAAAAAAATTTAATTTAGGAAATTAAGGAAATCTTTAAATGCTAGGAAATATGTAATGCCTATATAGACATCACAACTCCTGAAACATTATTTTTCAGTTCTATAATCATGGAAGGATTTTATGTAATTATCTGCAGTAATACTAATAATAATGGCTCACGTTTAAAAAAAAATTAATTCTACTAAATTAATCTCAAAATTTTAGTGATAAATAGTATTTGTTATAGGATTTCTGTATTACGATATAAAAATATTGTTTTCTTTATGTTGATTTAGTTTTTTTAGGTAATTTATTTAAATTGCTTTTGGATAATTTGAATGGATGCATAGCAGCATTTTCAAACATTAAGAAACATTGACAGAATTTAATTATGTATTTATTTTTTCTTAGTTACTCTGCCACTTGGTTTAAGGTTATGTATGTGCATGCTTAACTTTTAAAATCACATTAAAGAGTTTTTTTTCGGAGCTCTTTTGCCAAAGAAAATAAATAATACCACAGTTTAAGTGCCTTACACTGGAGGCAAAGCTATAATTCTATATTTTCCGTCTCCATCTATGTTTGGTTGTCCCGTAGCCACAAGGTGACTAATTCGCAAAACTGTCTGGAGTCAGCAGTCTGCTATGAATGGTTAGTTATTTAGGGTTAATAAGTATGTAATTGTTATGAATATTTTATACTGTTCTAAAAATTAATTTATTTCACTTCTTGTTTCTTAAACTTTTTCATCATTTTAGATATGAACCTGGTAATGTTTGCCATATTTTGACTGCATATATTATTAAAAGTGTAACTTTCAATTTCTGAAAAAGTGTCCACATAATTTATAAAGTGGCTATAAAAATAACATTTACAAAAACAACCTTTATATTATGCGACAATGAGCTTTTGTAAAACAGCTTTAAGATCTCAAATGCAAAAGCAAAGCAAAAAGTTACTCAAGTAGCACTTTTAAGCTTAATGTACATTATATTTGGCTTTATTAAAAATTAATCAATAACAATAACAGCAATTCAATCAATACAATAACAATCAATAACAATTTGGCTTTATTAAAAATTAATCAATAACAATTTTGTTTCAATAATCCATTACACCACTAAAGAGTAAGAAGAACAATAAAAAGTTTCAGTTTTGTATCAGAATTAATATTGTGTTACAATTTATATTTTACAGTTATAACCATTGTACAAAAATTATTTAAAAAACAAAACTTCTTTTATAAGCATTTTCAGGTTTTATGTTTTAATGTTTTACTTTTAAATAACGAAAAATGTCTCTTTTAGCTATGAAATTTGATTTAGGTTGAAATTTGATATTTAGGATTTCTTAATACCTGATATTTTTTTCAGGCAAATTCTGCTTATAAATTGACAGAAAATGAGGCTATTAAAGTAGCAAACACAATTAATGCTGAATATTGGCCAGTATCTTCAAAAACAGGTTTGTAATCTACAGTTTTTTTTTTGTTTGTTTTTTTGCATTTCTTTTATTTTAATGTAATTCGTAACTTTTTTTTTTGCTTATTTAGTTTATGAATACTATTCTATTTATTTTTATTCCAACTTTATTGTAATTTTCAGCATTTTTAAGTGATGTTAAAAACAAAACAAACTTAAAAAATTGAAAACAATCTAATATATATAAACAGTAAAACTTGTGTAAGTTGACCACTTGTGGTGCATTGTTTTAGTGGTCAACTGGGGGTGGGTCATTGTTTACTTTTTCATTTCCTATATCATGTTGCTATATATTTAATTATTTTTTTACTTGATTCAAAAAATATGCAAATTAATATCTTAAGAAATGTGTTTAAACCTAAATGAATTTCCATTTAATACATATAATTCTAATATTTGACTAATTTTTTAAAAAAAAAATTATTTCGTTAGTTATGCATGTAAAGTCTTTAATAAATATAATTTCTTAAAATATCAGAACACAAAAACATGTAATTTGATAACTTTAACAAAATAAAATTATTTGAACACTTTAAAATTTATTTACGACACTTAAAGATCAAAGACCATAAATAAAGGATCAAAGCATATTTCAGAACATTCATTTATTCAAATGCTCACTTCACAAAGTGAATGTTTTTAATAGTAATGAAAATTAAATCTATGAACGTAGATGAATTTACCATTGTGTAATTATCATTTAATTTTCTTAAAAATGGAAAACGAATAAAAACGCAATGTTTTTAAGGGATGGTGGCTATTTTTGCAGAAAGGGAAGAGAGGGTGTATTTATAGGGATCAAGGGTTAAAAAGGGCTTCTAAAATCGATTAAGGAAAACTCAACATACACATATTTACATACTGATATAAATATATATCACATAACACCACCTAAAAAGTACATCCACCACCCTCCAAAATATTCCCTGTCCATCCAAAATATTCCCTGTCCATCTATAAACAAACATTGAAAAAAAACTTATCTTTAAAAACTCATTCAATTTTTAATATTGTCAACTACAATGTGTATTTTTATTACAAATCACAAAAGGGTTTAATTTAAAGACATATTTAATTAAAATTTAATGTTGTAAATTTAATTAAAACTCAGAACAATATTAATAATCAATATTTCACATAAAACTGAAAATTAAATACAAATGAAACTTATGAAACATTACCTCACTAGCCCAGACAGCAGTGTCAGATGCTTAAATATTTGTTAGTCTAAATTTGTAATTTTTTTGTTTNTAAATACAAGATCTTAATAAATTTAACTCAGTCAAATTTGTCAACCTCTTGTTTAATTGTCTAAATTATCTTGTATTTTAAAGATTTGTTTTCCTCATACTTGACAAAATAATTCACTAATATAAAAATTAAATTGTTCACTTTAATATTTTTTGAAAAAATGATTTTTTTTTAAAAAATTTCATTAAAATATCAACTGATTTTAAAATTACATTAAAAAAAGCATTTATTTTAAATAAAATAGTTATATTGTTTTTGTTTTTTTTTACAAAAACTTACAAAAGAAATTTCCAGTTTTAGTTTAGTCATTTAATATAAATATTAAATTTATAGAATTAATAGAAATGAACACAGTTAAGAAATTTTAAACTCATCCCTTATGCATATAAATTTCTTCTATTTTATCCAGTTAATGCCATTGTCTTCGAAAAAAATGATTTTTTCATGAAAAGCGCTCAATTTTCACGTAAATCACTTAACATAAAGTCTACTTTGTGATACTGCACAATACCTTTTAACATTGCTTTTTATTGTGACAATTTAGCTCCTCTGCTTGGTATTTATAGTTTTTTGAAATATTTTTCCTGGAATTGATATTCTTTAGTGTTCATTTTTTGAAATTAAAAATGTTATGTTATTGCCAGAACTATAAGCAAGGCAAATGATGGTTATATATTTTAAAAATGACAAAAAGTTATAAAAGCCTTGATTTAGGGTACTACCCCAAGGCAGAGGTAAATACCCATTTATAAATACCATACCTACTGGGTATTTGTCTGACCACATCTATACCCATGCAGTGTTTGGCTAAATTTGAATTCATAAAACTCTTAATAAATATAAAGTAATGACTATAAAATATGTGAACTTTTAATTGCTACAATTTTTGTAGTCTTTACAAATTTTCTTATTTATCTTCCTTCTCAGTGACGATACATATTATTTAAAAAACTATTTTAAGTTTGAAAATTTTTTTGGTTTATAAAAATAAATAATTATAATAAAGTTTACATAAAACACTGAAAAGTTAAAAATTTTATACCTTATTATTTTGAAGTTTTTTTAAAAAAATTTTCATGCAACAAATTTGTCCTAAAAATTTTTAAGCAGAATAACTTTTTTTAGAGGAAAGCCTCAGAAAAAAAATTTAGCTTTTAGGCACATTCAATCACCTAATCACAAATTTATCTATAAAATGAAAAAAATAGAAAATTAGAGCTAGGTTTATGTGTCATGTAAACTAAAATTGTAAAATAATGTTATTAGTTTTACCTATGCTATTTTCTCATTGCTTAATCAGATGAAAGTATACTGCAAAATAAAAATCTGCAATACCTTTTTTGGTAGAATATAGATTTTAAAAATACTTGATTATTCTAAAATTCTCAATAATTCCCATTCAACTTTGTTCAGCAGTTTAAGCTTCTAAAAATGTTTTGAAGAACCTAATTTTATTATTGATTTTCTGAAAATGTATTTTCTCCTACAGAATTTAACCCACCGACGGTTCTGCATGTAGAAAGTCATACTTTTTTTTATGCTCGCAAATGGTCGTGAATGTAGAAAACCTCCCTTCATTTTTCCACCTATAGATGGTCCTGCACATAAAAAAAGCCTCTGATTTTTGTCCGGCAAAACGGCCATGCACGTGAAAAGTCGCTAATGCTTTCCCCCTTACTAGCGGAAATGGGCGTGAAATTCACTCCCTTCTCAGCTACAGTTAATTGATGTCCGCTCCATCACCTGAAGGGTAGAAATACTCAATACACAATAGAGTTGGCTTTCAAAGAAAATGCGAAATGATTTTCGAATATATTTAACTGAAACATTTTTTTTCAGTATAAGAAGGAAAGAAAAAAAAAAAAGAAATCGGTATGGGAAGAGAAAAACATGACAAAATAGAACTAATTTTCATCTAATGTTAATTCGCAAAGATTAAAACTGATTTAAAAAAAAGTAAGAGGTTAAAATTGACTCAGTGCAGGTGATTGATTTTAATTTTGAAAATATAGTACAATAAATCTCGGTAAAAGTGATTCACCTAAATGTATGGAAAAAAAGAATCTGATATATTTAAAAATAATGTTTATAAATTATTTACATTTAATATTATCTTCAATTGTTTAAATAGTTTTCCATTTAGTTATATTTCTTTTTAATTTATAGAGTATTTAGCGAGTAAATAATGGTAGCTTTTTCCGTTATTGTTTTTTCTTTTGCTGGTTCAAAAAACATTTTCTAATGTACGAAAAAAGGAAGAAAAAAAATTACAAATTGCGATTTTTTGTTAGTGATTAAAAAATAAATATTTATTATTCAGTTTCCATTTTTATTCTTTCAAAGTATTATCTAGTTTAAGAGGCAGGCATTAATTATTGAATTAATGATTCAATTTTAGTTAAGGGTGTAATTGCAGGTTGGTTAGCATCATCTCACTTAACCTCGAAAAACTTTTTTTTTTTCATATGATCCTATGTTAATTTTTTTATATTCTCTCCCACCCAAATCAGTTGCTACATTTCCAGTAAGTTGAGTTATAAATAACTTTCAATGCAATTTAATAGAACAACAACAGTAAAATTATACTTGTACTGAATTCACGGTTCATTAACTAAAATATCATTTTATGCGATTACCTATGGAAGAGTCCTAACAAAAAGGGGATTTGTTTGACAGCGTGAAAGCAACTTTTTTTAGCAACAGCTTTTTTTCAAAATTAGCTTCAAAAAAGAATTTTGAAACTAATTTGGTGCTGATTTAAGTAGGGAATGATTGATATGTAAACGTTGTAAACTGATAGCATAGCACCTTGAAATCTCTGAAAAATGTTTAATCAAAATCATAAACTCATCAGTATCAATAAGCAGTGCAAAAGTATTCAAATGTAGAAGAGGGAGTATATTATTATTAAATGTCAATTATCTGTCATCTAGGCTTTTTTTTGGTTAGAAATTTGTGTATATATTTAAATTATATATTTGCATACGTTTCACATGAAATTTAATATATTAATTAATATTTTAATTAATTTCCTAAAATTTTTGTAATAAAATTTTATTTCCTTTGAAAGGTATTCATATTTTTCTTGGGAATGTACCACCTTAAAAGTATTAAAATATCGAATAATAAGATGAATAATACGATGTCGAATAAACTGCCAAATAATAAATGTTTTATTATTTCTTAAATTGATTTAAATAAATGATTTTGTACTTAATTTGCTGTAATTAAGTTTATACAAACACATTGGAAATTTGCTACTTTAACCCTTTAATGGGCCATTTATTTCTAGTAAAGGTAAGTTAAAGTATTTTTGGAATTGAAATTGACAAAATAATAATTGATATAAGAAAAAAAAACCTTTTTTAGCTTAGGTAAGTATATTTACCACGATTTATTAGGAACTCATTGACTTTTATTTTTCGTTATTTATAAAATAAATTTTATAAATGCTACAAACTTTAAAAGGAATTATATATTTTATAACTTTTATAAGCTTTTTTAAACTAATAAATGGTAACCAATTTTATTAAAACGCTCTTCAAGAAAGCTGAAGTTGTTAACAAATGGAAATCTAAATTGAAAGTGGTAAAAAAGTTCGCTATGAACTTTAAACAGTGGTGTTAAGTATACTTATCACGGCCTTTGAAAGGGTTAATAAATATTTGGCTTAGGGAATTTTATATAATAACCAGTATAATAATATTGAGGCGTTAAAGTTTCAAAAAGTTCAA